CTTTAATATGGACTTCTTTCATGTGGATTGAAAAATGTATGTAAATAATGTGGACTTGTTTTTGCAAAGTCACGTATCGGAAGAGCTAGAGTCTGTCGCTAGGGAAAGGGAGGTCTGGACCACCCTACTCAACACGCTGCCACCGTGACCCTCACCAGGACAAGCGAAATGAGAAACGAAACGAAAAAACGAAGTATCATTTAGTCCGTGAATGTCTCACTTGAGCGTGTATCCTGTCTAACAAGTCTATGGACTCACCATCACCACTGAACTGAGATGCTGGACACATGTGCAGTGACCCTGAGCCACTCTGCTTTCTATTTTTGGATCTGGTTTGGCCGGCCTTTCGACTTGCCATCGGTCAGCAACCGTAAAACATTTCTCTGCACGAGGCTCCCCCCTTGTGCCCGAAAGCTACCGTGCCTCTCGAATACCCTCACACACCTGCAAATGGAGCATGACAATGTAATCTCAGACTTTACTTATTGGAATTCACTCAACTCGGCAACTACTACCATAGTAATGAAGTCCTAAGCTCCAACAACAACACAAGAGGATTGCTCCCCTCTATGTGGACATATTGGATCTTTGATTCAATACATTTCAACGAACCTAGACAAAAGCCCTCCTGTACAAATACGCAATGATAAAGTCAGCCCACATGCTGCGTGTAGTTTTATGACATTGACAACACTTCATTACAACTGTATACCTGTCCATCACGACAACCTGGCCTCATTTAATCTGTACATAACCGAGTGAATTTCCAAAAGTGTTGCTTACATATCCCATTATTTCCCTATTTGCTCTGCTGAGATAAAATGTCACTGAGCACACACAAAGACAGAGATCCCCCGTATAGTATTAACATACTTTTGGGGCAAGTGCTGTTAGCAAGCACCTATGAAGGTCAGCATAGGTGCCAGCACCACGCCCGGCCGTCTTTGTCTCCGAAGTGTTGATGTTTACACACCGCACCAGGTACTCACTTGACGCTGAGCGTGCGCGCCCACACACACGCAGAGACACCGCCTGCGCTGCGTCTGCGGTGGCGGGGGACGGTATGTCACGATCGGGACAGCGCTCCGAGATGAGACGCTACATCTGAGCTGGGCATGCCGGCAGAGTAATCCGTAAAAGCGCTATGCAAGTTAATCCATGCAGGCTGCTGCCAGAGCACAGAGCCCGCAAGCACAGGATCTCATTGGGCACCCTTGGCATGCACATTGAAAAGCGGGACCGCCAGAAGATGCGACTCGTATGAAAACAAGACGACTGAAGGTCCCTAAAAATAGGCTTGAGTGTCCAAATGCAGCCTTATTTGTCAATCCTCTGCTGAATGATGACTTCCCTACGCCGCGTGTGGGTCATTGGAGTTGTTTGACCACGTACTTCACCGTGTTGGTCAATGTGGGCTGGTGAGGCAAGGAGCACTGGAGTGTGGTACCATAATGGATTTTTCTGCACTGTCCCCTACTACTCACCACTCCGCCCTACAGGCCAAAACAACCTGGTGTGTTTGATGATCGCCCATCCACAGGCACTGTCCAGGCTCAACCCGCTTAGCTTCTGAGATCTGATGAGATTTGGTATATTCTGGGTGATTTGGTCATGGAATGAGTTTGAGTATTTTTACTTAATTCAGCATATTCCAGGTCTGAAACCCTTACATGTTTGAGCTTGATTACAAAGTGATGGACAGCCCTATAGGATGGTGTGAAGATCTGCACCACCACATAGTGTGGATAAGAGGCAACTCAACTGACCTCAGTAGTCATAGAATGTAATTTTGTAAGCACAGGGTGATGTACTACTTTCTGCTAGTGTATCAAATCAATAATGAAAATACAGCAGTAGTCGCCAATTACTTAACTGGAAAAAAACTTCAAAGAGTCTCAAAGACTGGTTTCAGGAGGATCCCGCATTGGAAGGTTTGGCCAATTCCATCAACGTTTTGCCTTCACGTGGGAGGAGAGCCACACACACATAATGGGCCATACAAAACACTTACACCACGTGGCCACCTCATAACCCCACTCGCAGGACACCTGGCAAGCCCTGATGGGCACCCATCCAAGCACTAACCGGGCTGAAGCCAGCTTAGCTTCCAAAATCACGCAATATTAGGTGCACTCAATGTGCTGTGGTCGTCGGCAAAATAAAAAAGTCTACTTCATGACAAGATACCGACAGCACAACTGACAGAGGAACTGGAATTTGAAAAAAATAAACATTTTAATCTACAGCATTTTACCAGCCTTGGTAAAGATCAGGGTGACCGTGTAACATTTACGTCCAGTGCTGCTGCTCTAAATAGCACTGTCTGCAAGCGAAACAACCCTTCAAGGCGTCCTCCCTCGCATTTCTGCAACGACTACGTTAACGATTATGACCTTCAAAAGCCCAGGCTGTGGGGAAGCAAAACATGCCCATGCTTCTGCCAAAGGCTTGCAGTTGAGATACCTGTGCTCAAATTGCATTGGAGAGAATCGCCTGCTATTTCATAGCAAGTTCAACAGAAACGGAGCAGTAATGAATCATTTGGCGGGACCCCGGGGTCCCGCAAAAATCAGGTCCATAATAATTATTATTTTTCAGTCCACCCACTCGCCGATTGCCTCGACTACTGTCCAGCCATCCCGCCCAATCTCGTCGCCGAGTTGGACGACGACAGCAACGCGCCGCCCGCCCAGACTCGCCGTGCCAACAAGCGCCGGCAGGCGGCGGCGATCAACACGATGGGCGCCACCCCACCGGCCAAACGCAAGCCCGGGGGGCGTCCGCCGCGGTCGCGCGCGGCGACGACGAGGCCCTCCGGTCAGCCGTCGATACTCAGCTTCTTTGCCAAGGCGAGCCCGCCGCCCCGCAGGCAGTGAATTTAACGTGTTTATGTAATTTTTCAACTTTTTACGAAACTTAGTGCCCCGAGTAGCTCTCGACGAGGCCAATCGATTGACCACTAGTTTTGTTGTCGGTAAGGCAAGACTCGTGTCGCTACGCGGTTTTTCCCACCCCGGGGCAGTGATGGGACCCCGGGGTCCAGCCAATTGCTTCAGTTGTGCAATTAAACAGCACCCACTACCGTTCAGGAAAGAGATGCACATTTATAAAATGTTTTTATTTGGCCACGTCGGTGGATACCTTTCGTAAAGATAATGTTCCGAGATGTTTAAGGCAATAAGTATACAAATATATAATAAGGCTGCCAGTTCCATATGTTTAACAGACCTCGTTCTTCATAATTCACTCAAGTAAAGCAGCATGGGGATTTTAAAAATATATACATTTATAACTGATGACCTTTTGGGAATGTGCAACTACGCGAGACAAAAAAGTCTGGTAGATGGCAACATGACCAGTGTAATTATTAAGAAACCTGCACTTATAAAAGGATTAACAAAGAATCCATTTTCAAGTTTATTTTGTTTAACCAACGGAGAACTCTAGTGGACCAGAATACAGCAGTTTAATTTGCAAGAGCGGCAGTCTGTGGCATTATTGTGCCAGTATGGGGTGACGATGACTTCGTACAATCACAATTGAGCAATTTGTGGGTAATTTTCTAAATTGGCACATTTGGACCCCGACATCGGCACACAGCGTCTTAACTCCTGCAAATGGCATCGGAGGGGGGGGTGTTTAACGTTCATTTTGAATCAGACGGCGCGTAGTTATATTCTGTTTATCTCACGCGCAGTAATAACCAGGGCGGCCGCTGGTTTCGAACCGTGAACCTCTGCAAAACAAGCGGTGAATGTGCCGCCACTAGACCACGACAACAAATCGGATTGGAAGCACCAATAGTATTGGCGTTAAGCTTCAAACGCACCCATGTGTCATAGATGCTTCTACAAAATCAAACACGTAGCATAACTCCATTTGACAGCTCTTTGGCATTCTACTGTTGGATGAAGGCCACTCGATATCATAATGGTCAAAAGGATTTTTCAACCAAATTTTACTTAAGCCGGTCAGTCCAATATGGTGAAAGTATTTTCCAGGACAATAGGTTGAGCAAGCACATTTCCCCGCCTACATAGTCTGCCAGACTCCCCAGGCCAGGTCGCCCAGCCGTAAGGGAAGGGCAGGGGTCACAGGTTTGGGCCGTGGTTGAGTTTACTGGCTCAGTAATGTGCATTGTGTGACGGCGGACGTTGCACAATATTTTAAGGATGCAGCAAAGTTACGTGCATGAAAGACCAGTTTCAGCTTAAGCTTGCTCATGGACTCAAGCCAGCTGTATGCCAACCAATGCATCACTCTGTTTCTGTAAAATCGTTCATGTAACGATATTATATTAAATGCACATGTGTGTCACAATCTATTGTTAAATTAACTACGCTTCACAATGTCGCTTTGAACTCGCTCATGTAACAGATACTCTATTAAACTGACTCATGTATCACACTCCCATGTAATGTAACCTATGCATTACACAGTTCACTCACGTACCAGTCTCCTATTAGCTCACCCATACATCACACAAATTCCCAAGAGTCAAAACTGTAAACGACGAGAAAACCCATCAAAACAGCAAAATAATGCAGGCCGCAAAAAAAACATACGTTTCAAACAATGGTGAACTAAGATAGGGGACCACAATGCACTTCTTCAGGAAATGCTGATGGTGTTTGCATGACGTACAAAGGTCGAGTGCTTTTTACACATTTTTGTCTGTTGTTTGAAACACAATCTCGCATAATCTCACAGAGCCTCCTGGAAGCTACCATAGACTGTAAACTCGCTCAGGTTCTGTAGTCCTCTGTAAGCTACGACATTCTCCCGTAATCTCGTGTAACCGGGATACTCTGCTAAATGCACTCAGACACCGCAGTCCCCGGTAAGCAGACCTGTTCATCGCACAGTCTCCGATATACTCACTCAGGTACCAGAGACTCCGGCAAGCTAACCCATGCACTAGTCTCCCACAACTCAGTCCGATGGCACAGTCCCCCATAAGCTACACCCCGTCTAAATCACACATTCTCCCGCGTACTCACTCATGTAGCGCAGCGTCTCCTCCGCTTGCTCCGGGGAGAGATCGGGGCTTGCGTAGGCGCCGTCACCATCGCCGTCATCCGGCGAGAGGACGGGCGAGTGGAGCCAGTCTCGGTGCTCGTAGCCATAGACGGCGTTGGCACGCAGCGTGTAGTGGGGCAGCCGCTCTTCCAGGAGGCTGATGATCTCCACCTCCGGCAGCTCGGCACTGCTGCATACGTCTGTGGTCGTGATGGTGGTGGTGGTGGTGTTGGTGGAGGGGAGACGAAGAAGATGTGTGTCAGACCAAGCAAAACAGCACACATGACGAGGGGCGACAAACAGCGGACGGCATCACAAGGTTATCATCATCGGCCGTGATCTAGCCACTGCTCGATGAAGGCATATACGAGCAGTCGCCATCGCTCATGGTCCTGCAACCCAACGACAGCTAAATTCTGCATCTGTGCAGTGGATGTCCTCTTGGATACGTTCCCTCCTTGGGCTGGCACTCCATCGTTGGTCTCGACCACCGGCAAGAGCCCTTCTCGCGACATGTCCTGCCCAATCCCACTTATTTTTCCGAACAGTCAAGATGATGTTTAACTTGCAGTGCACAGTGTTAAGCTCACAGCAAGTGTGTTCTGTGACTGATTCCCATTATAATGCACAAATTCATAGATTAAAATAATGAATTTTCAAATAATAGCTGCATCAAATTACGCATGTTCATCAATCGTGTACAATTTATCTACCTTACATGCAAATATCTCTAACGGAACTGGACAAACAACACAAAAAATATATATAAGGAATACCACCAAGACATTTTCTTTTGACACAAGCAATCAATCCTCAAATGGAATCGTGACCCAATCATGACAATCCATCAAGGTGCTGGGGAGTGAATAGTTACGTCTACTTAATATGGGACTTTACACGTCCGTTAATTCTACTGATATATACACTGTCAACAAATTCCACAATGCATTCGGTACCTGTTCAACGGCACGCTGTGCGGATGCCCGCGCGTATTCCTAATTTATCCACAACTCTGGCTGTCCACCTGAAGATGCCAGTTATAATAACTGGCGAAACGTCGTACTCAAATTGTGAATGTTGTGGGTTTACTCTCCAACACACCCGTGTGCTGAACTAGGAACGAATTAGCATGTTTTGTTGACGTGACAAACCTTACTAATTGGCTGTGTTGGGTAGTGGCAGGTTTAACGACACATTTATATTTAAGCAATCTAGCCCAAAAAACCCCTCTATTCCGTCATTGCCGCGAAGGCACAGTTGAATCTTACGCCGTGTTCGGTCACTCGTTTTGTGCGACACAACCGATGCGAGGAAGCGAAACATGTCGCAAACAGCGCGGTTGCCAAAAGCATTGTCGAAATCGCTGCTGCCAACAGGCGTTGTGTAAAGTGTATTGGGACTTTGGCAAGGGTCTGCATATTGTTTACGAGTGCTAAAAATAAAAAAAAATCCAAGCATATTTCCTGGCCAAACAAGCACAGGATGGCGCTAATCTGTGCCAAGCCCTGATCGACTGGTGGAAATTCTACATTCCTATGGCAGGGGTAAGACAACTCAGAGTATCCACTATTGACTTCCAAAAGTACAATTTTACAGACCCTCAGCTCAAGGTAGAATGATGAAGTTCACCCCGACCTAGATCTAAACGTGTAAACTTCCGGCCACGAGGAAGTTGAAGCCGTATGTTCTAGCTACTGCCCCTCCCAGTGGGATAAATGAGTTGCAGACACTTGAATCATTGGCATGTTAACGATGAATCAGACCATCAACGACAATCGATTCATACACTCAGGATACATGCGTGGAATCACGCAAATTCCGATAAATATTACATACAATTTGTTGAAATGTTAAGCCTTGAGGCTTATGGAGGAACTGAGAAATAATGTACGAGGTAGGCAATGCCAATAAGACAATACAAACGGGACATCAAACACAAACATAGAATTGTATTCTGAAGCCAAATCATGACAATTCATCAAATTGCGCAGAGGGTGAAGGCGGCAGTGAGATGAATCGCCACGTGCCTACTGTCAGTCATGATATCACGCGGCCTGTAACCAGCCACACGTGGGTCCTACATGCACACATTAACACTACTGACAACAGACATTGACTCCCCAAGGGCGAGAAGCTAAATAAAGGTATGCGACTATGAAGGCTGAAGGGTGAGGCACACAGCTCTAGGTCAGGGCAAAAGCACACGTTGACGGCATACGAGTACACCGCTGCAATGTGCAGCGCGAGCGCTTAAGTCCAGCCAAGTCCTCTATGTGAATGACCTTCAGCGAAACACAAACAACGGCTACTAGGCAGCCAGAGGAAAAACACAGCCTGATCTAAATCTGTTACCCGAGTGAGGGCGGGAGAGTGGGTGTCGCGAGACTGCGCTGGCAGGCTGAATGTTTTTTTTTTATATGTAGGCGTGATTGTTTAATGAATGCCAACGTTGCAAACGGCAACACATTATCGTCCTGTCACCAACAGCGCTGCCAAAAGCGTCACGTTTATTTTTCCACTCCATACGCCGGTACTGACACTGCATATTTGTAGAAACAGAATTTTATAAATAACGAAAACAGAGTATGACCAAATAATCCAGAGTGTATCAGATCTTATCAGATCTCAGATGCAGGGTGGAGCCTGGATAGTGCTTGGATGGGTGACCTCCCTATCCAAAGATGTGATAACTGGACTCCAAGGCTACTTGCTGAGCGGTGAAGAGCAGCGCAGCAAAATCCATCGCCGCGCTGTACTGCTAGCAGGTCTTTGCCAATCCATGATCAGACAGTGAAGTATGGTCAAATAAGCCCCATGATAAATACAGCGTGGCGAGACACTTATTCATTCGTAAAATTGACAAAATGGCCTGTACATGTACAAATCACACAATAAAAAATACTTACCACAAAGATATAATAAAGATAGGGGTGTAACAATGCATCAATTAAATTGTAGATTTCAAGTTTTTATGCAAATTTTGAAAGATTGCTGCTATTGAAGACCGGAGCCATGCGCCCCTATTCTAAACGGTCCAAAATATTACACTTGAAATGAAAGCATCAAGCTTTCAGGCACAAACCACCACGAGAGGCTCGGACCTGTGATGGTGCTGGCGTCCCGGTAGATGCTGGCGCCGGCTTCGTTCCAGGGACTCGGCGTGTCGCTCGAGTAGTAGACCTCAGGCCCGCCCGGCGGGTACGCAAATGCAGGAAGCGGGCGAGCGGACGCCTGCGTCGCGGCCGGACTGGACGAGCCCAGCGGCAGGGACAAGGGAAACCCGGAGGCCGCGCCGGGGTACGAACCGCTCGGCGGCACGGGAAGACCCGGCGCGGAATCGCGGGGGCCCTGACGAGCCGGGTAGCTCGGCAGCAGCTCGGACACGGCAAGGGACGCCGGCCGCCCGGCGGCAAACGGCGGCGCGGTGCCGGCGGTGGACGTTGCCAGATTAGGAAACGGTGCTGTCCGAGTGTCTGTGAAGACTGGACCCGAACAGAGCGAAGTAACAGGGCCGTTCGCTGTCCATGTTTGCGTGGTCGTGGCGTAAGGTGGAGCTGCAGGCCCAGGCTTGAGCGGCTCTCCGCCGCAGCCCAGGCCGGCCCTTGCCAACGTGGCTGTGGCTGTCAATGTGGTTGAGGTCGTGACTGTGTACGTGGCTGTAGCTGCTGGTCGGCCCGAGGGCCACCCAGGGCTGGCCGCAAGGGAAGGGCCGTTCGTCGCGATGCTGGGCTGGTAGAGGTGCGATGCCTCAGTCGGCCCAGCAGGGAGGGCCAGCTTGCTGGATGAGGCAGACAGGACGCCCCTCACTCCTGCAGGGACATCAGCGGATGAGTGCTGTAGTCATGCGCTCTGCAGGCCCACGGGTGGTGTTCCTGTTTTAGCGCAATGCAGAGCAGGGGTGAGCTCAGCTGAAAGCATGGTCACAACAACATTAATGCAGAGGCACAACCACAACTGAGACATCTTAATATACGAATGTGGTTTCACAAAATTATCTCAATTACATTTTAAAACAGTTCAATGAGCATGAAAAGGTGCTGCCCTGAAACTGCTTGCTCATACCACTGCTCGTGGAAGGGCCTCAACTAAAGGTAGCTCTAGACAGTCCCTCTACAGGTTATTTTGGCCTACTCTTCCACACTCGAAGAGGTGAGAGTACCCACACTTTACCCCATCATACGGAACCTACCAATCAACTAAATGCATGACTGAATGAGAAAAAATATTAAATAAACACGGCATTCTTCTAAGAAAATATTGCATTGTTGATGTTGACATTAAGAGATTACATTCGATGCAAATTTCCACAGTTAATGAAAAATACTCTTAAAAAATTCTAAAAAGCATTATTTTCTTTAAAAAGAAACAGGGGCACATTGAAATGCATGCTTAGATAAGTGCATTTGTATGGATTCACATTGTTTCCAGGAAATTCAATAATAGCGATAAAACTCACTATGTGTATACAAACACGTGTTCTACTCTGCAGTTTACGGCAACTTGGTGCCATGATGCTGCCTTCAAAACTGCAGACTCATTGATTATTTCCAGACGTTTCAATTCGCCAACGTTATATTTTGAGCAACCGTACAAATTGTACCTTTTTACTTGAATGTCATTCTTTCGCACAGTGACAAAACAACACACGACACATCGACGAAGTTCACAAGTATAACAACGATGAGGCCTATCCTGTCCAAATGTTCATTCACGGCAGAGGTTCGTTCATATAAAAATACACAGGCAGGTAGGGGGGAAGGAGGTGGGGTGGGGGAACAATATAGGGGTTGGGGGAAGGGGGGTGGCTCCTCTTCTGCAGCGCGTATTCCAGGCTGGGGCATAGTTGACATGGGAGGTGCGAGGGAATTCTCGTTTTCTGGAAGTCTGAATCTTTCCCTCTCAACCTGTGCCTGAGGTGTTCTGTGTGTCGTAGACAGGGTCTCATGCTCTTTCCAGGTGTACAAATGTATGTTCCTGGCTGTGATATTAAATATTTGAGAGATATATGAAATAATGAAAATCAAAATACCAATGTTCCAATGCACCTTAAGGAAGAATAATTATTTTAATAAGTGTATACTATCTATAACGACATATGGGTCAGAAACCTACATTTTTATAAAGAGAATGGAAGAAAATCTGAAAAGGTGGATGCTAAGAATTGCACAGAGACACAGAAATATGAATGCATGGGAAGTATCCTAAGGCAAGACACGTCACTGGTAGAGATGACGATCACCGATTGAGACTAATGACAGTGCCAGCCAAAGGAGAGAGCACACCGAACAGCACGTCCATTATAGAGATGGAGCGATGACATCAGCTTGGGAAGGCCTTCATCCAACAGCAGATAGATCATGCCTGATGATGACAATGATGAATGGTCGAAGAAAACAGCCCCACACAAAACATATAAACAAATACAGAATGAAGAAACATTTAAAACACAACCAGAAGATTGTGACCTGGCATTTGTTCCATACAGATGCACTTTCAACATTTTATTTGTAACCAACGTTTTACCGCTGGGCTTAACAAAAGAAAAACCACGCCACCCACAGATTAAAAATCAGTGAGCCATTCTTGCACATCAACCCCTCTTCCATTATATTACAAATGCAGGGGGAATTGCGTCCTCTGAGCGGCAGTTGTTCGTAACAAATGTTTTCCCCAAGCGTCATAGTTTACAATACAAGAAAGCTTATCATCCCTTCAAATTCCTTTTATCATAAAGCGGCGAACAAAATCAGCGCCTCCCAAGAGCTTATCGCGAATGTGTGTCGAGTTGTTGCCATACATATGTAGTGACGTTAATAATGTAAACTATAGCTGTTAGCGCCAGCCACTATCACAGGAGTGCTGCTGGGTGCCTGGAACCTCCCTAGGAAGCTCGAGGGACACGTGACGGGGAGCCAGGAGCTCCTGACTTGATACAGCAGGGGGCGTGGCCGAGGGCGGGGCGAAGCCGCAGCCGGGGGATAAATGGGGAGCCCCGACAGGGATCGGGGCTCGTTTGTGGGATCGTCCTGGGGTCCCGCGTTCCTTCAATCTTTGGCTCGGCATCGTGGGTCAGGCTGACTGCCCCGTTCGTTAATAGTTAACCCACACTCACATAGTGATAGAGTAGCCACACGGCCCACACCTAACTATAGAACCCGATGCGGTTAGAGTTACCCCGTTGGGGAAGTTGTTTAATAAACGTGTTGCCTCCAACTTTAGTGTGTGTGTGCCTCCGTACATCACACTACACATATATAAATAACCACAACAACCCAACACTAATTTCCTTAACTATTTCATCCACGGAGATGGCCTCTCAATTGATGGGCCTCCTCAAAGTTAATTTAGAAATCAACAACCATGTATGTACAGGTGATTCATGGCAGATTGCCGAGTACTAACTAAATTGCAGTATCATTTGGAATATCAAGCACAACATTCTGTGACGCTGTATTTATACAACAACAAAATATGCAAAAAATCTGGGCCTACATTTTAGATTGTTTGACCCACTGTAGTGGGTAACATTACAATATGCACGAGGTAAGATGCATTTCTAATGCATAAAGTATAACGACGTGCAACAGAACTTAAATATTTGGAAAAATGAAAATAAGTGTGTTAATATACTGCCCACATTCAAAAGCACTGGCACTCTGCCACGAATCACATTAAAGCTAAGAGCTCTCCTGTCGGGGAATAAAGCCCCCAGGAAACCAAGACCACTGGTCAGCCAACACACCCACAGCAATAGCATTTAATTGACCATTAAGGCACCAGTGGATTGCGGTTTTTAAATTTCAGCAGCCCCACTTTTTACGGCATAGTTGTTGGCCTACAACAACGTCTAAAGGGAAATTCGTACTCACTGTCGTTTTACTGGCACGGACGAAGAATGGGTGGGGGTTAGATATTTGCGTATCACATAGACTCTGATGAAAAGATAAAAGGTTACGTTATTTTAGAACATTTTTACCAGTCCCAGAAGAAATTTGAAAACATAACAAGTCAAGCTTCATTATTCTTTTCCTCATATTTCTTTATTAAACAAGTTAAGAACATATTTATTAGCATACAATTACATCTTAAGTTTAGTTATACCTATTACCGAGTGATAAAGACACTAACTGAAAAGGACCAGTCTTGATTTGGGCAATTGTTGCGTTATCATTTGAGAGCTTTAACATAAAGCATTGGAGTAATTAACTTGGTTGCGAATTCAGTCAATCCCTAAAGGGAACCATTGTAACATGATCAAGCCATTGCATAAATTACTGATGATGTTCCAACAGTTGGCACCCCCTGCCAAAGAAAGCCCTCAAAACCAGTTAATTATAGAGACTTTTAAGGTGAAAACTCAATTTCGACTCAATTCCCATAGTCAAAGTGGAGCATGTTGAAGGGACAAGTAAAATCCATCCACCATCAGCAGAACATCTCTAAAACTGAGATATCTGATTCAAATCCCTCATTAATTACTAATGCTCACGTTTAATTATTGGCATGCAACATTAATCAGACTGCAATGCCAGTCATTCTTGTAATACAATAGGAAACACTCTGTGGTTTTCTGGGCTAGATAAGAGGAAAGACACCGTCCAAGGACGGGTGTATTTGTGCCTGTAATTTAGTCATTTAACAGGTGGGGTTCATGGATCGTGCGTAGATGAAATATTGTGATGCCCATCTACCTGCAGGAGAAGTACTGTGTATTTCCGATTTATAAGCGCAAAAAATTACTTTCTCTGGGCACTCCAGTTTTCTCCCACTCATAAACCATGCCAAAATTTAATTGTCGGACATTCCTCGAAGCATCTTGAGACTTCGCATGTCTTTTCCAGATATGAAGTGACTACCATCCCCGCAGATTTGTATGCAATCATAGACCAGATTTATGTCCGGTCACAGATGTTTATTGACTTGCATTTACCCGTTAGATGCCCTTTCCAATTCCGGATACCATACAGTTTTTGTTAAGAAATACGACAAGATGCAGCTTTACGAGTTTTGTACGTATGTATGCTGAACCTAGTTGTAACCGTACATAGCCATCCGTGCAAATCGGAGGTTTAGTGCAGTGTCAGGGGTTACGGTTTAAGGTTATGGGTTCTTATTTATGACTGGGGATTTAGGGTTAGGAATTGGGGTATTAAGGCTTAGGGTTGCCGACAGGAGTACCTCAGACTAATTGTCTCACTTCGCATCTGCAAGGACAAATAGCCTTTGCCATGCGGATACTTGAGACTGCGTGGCATCGTTGTCATATTATATTATCAGAGCGCCACGTTCCTTCAACCGGAATGCCAACAATGCCACAGGAACGCATGACCTTCATGCCTTTGTCATCGTGCTGTGGAAAATCCAAAACAATAACAATGCAGACGAGGTGCCCATTGTAGACAATCTCGGGACAATTTACAATTTCTGATCACGTAAATCGACCACCAAATACAGTATACCAACAACCCTCTCTGGTGACACACACAATTCACTAGTGTCCTGCATTGACATTGCGAAATCGCACCTTTGTACGCAGGGAAATTACTCAGATTGATTTAAATGTTAGATGTATTACCCTAGGCTTAAGCCCACGCGGGCTAAGAAAAAAAAACGACTGATCCCAGCCCGTAACGGCCGAGATTAACCGCAATTCACGTCAAAAAGTCATCGAACGCCGGCAAATGCGGCCTACTCGAGTCGGTCTCGGGAGTTCTAACCGGTCTCGACTAGTTTTTACCTACCGGCGAACAAGCACCGGCGCCGGCTGAGCAGCCTTGACCACGCCCGCAGCCCGAACATCTCCCGCGGCTACAACCCGCCGGCGAACGCCGTTTTTTTTTACCTGAACCCTCAGCCTCCTTTGGCTCATTGGGTCCCAACGTGAGGGCGAAGCTGCCCGCTTGGCCGGTGGCGGCCGGTGCGAGGCTCGCTCCGCGGTGTTGGTGATCCACTGCCCCCGCCACCCCGGGGCCGGGCGACGAGCGCGGGAACGTAGCGGGGTGAGAGAGCGGCGTGAAGTGGGCACAGAGGGGGGGAGGGGGGGAGCGATGGGTGCGGTGACGTCACCTCGAAACGACGGGGGGAGGGGGTGGGGGTTGGGGGTCCACGCGATTTCCGTGTCTCGCCAGTAGAAGGCACTGCAAGCTAATCCTCCGTCTGTGTGTGGGATAGAGAAGGGATCGGGAAAATCTGCGGCTCTGGAGCCACGCGCGGCTCTTTAAGGCCTACCTCGTGACGTTATTCGCATGTGTTTGCGGCTATTGAAATATTGAGGGGTTTTTTTATTTTTTTACCGAATTCGAAAAGCAATTTGCTCTTCTTGTTATTTTGTATTGCCGACCCCTGGGATCGAGTGTTTCCCCCTCGCACGCGTGGGTTTGTAAAACTATTACTGTTTAACATGTAGGATTTCGCGACCAATATCATACATAATATAGGTTTTCTTGGGTTAGATCGCGTAAATATATAAATGTGTCGTTAAACCCGCCACCACCCAACAAATCCAATTAGTAAGGGTTGTCACGCGAAACTTTTACTCAGATTGTAAATGTTATGGCTTTACTCTCCAACACACCGGTATTGCTGTACTAGTAACGAATTGGCATGTTCTGTTTACGTGACAAACCTTACTAATTGGCTGTGTCGGGTGGTGGCGAGTTTCACGACACATTTATATATTTACGCGATCTAACCCCAAAAAACTCTATTATGAAAACTATTACTATTTATATTTAACCAGGTAAAGCCCAGTGAGCTATATGGCTATTTTTCAGAAGAGATCTGCCCACAAATGAGAGCTCAACGAAGTGGCTTATCATGTGGAAATTTCTAACAGCCAAAGTCTCTAAACCCAAAGTCTCCACGTGACCATGGGAAGAGAGACATGCAAACTCCACGTATACAGGTGCCAGGGGCTGGATCGAACACACGACCTCCTGTAGTGCAGGCGAAGTAGTTAACATCTCATAGCCACCGTGGATCCACGCAACTTTTCCGTCTGTATAATATAAAGTGTTTCCCCCTCGCACGCGTGTGTTTCCTCGGGATGTTCCAGTTTCCTCCCACACATATAAAAACTCATTACTTAGCCTATAACACTTTAATATATAGAGGACCGCAGAGCTTGAGTAATTGTTGATGCCGGCTGCCTTCCTACTTGAGCCGTTCACTGTCTTCGATAGTGATGTGGATACTGTGAGCGTTACAAGTTGAAAGTATTGAATAGACTCAGACAGCGGGCTGAATCAGCTGAAGGATTGGTTATACTGGAAGGAACCTCCTGGTTACACCAGCCCACAGGGGATTATTGTGTCCGTCCGTCGTGCATCCAAAAATGGGAGGGGTGGAGCTGGGTGGGGATGGGAGGGTGGGGAGGGGCTGGGTGGGGAGGGGCTGGTCAACCCGTGGTGCCCTTATAAAACTCAACGTTTAACCTACTCACGCCGGCTTGTGCCCGCCCTCACAGTCGGGCATATTTGCGGAATACACCACGCCGCCGTTGACCCTGGCCATTGACCGAGCAACCCAACGTTCCTACCAGCTCCCTCCGCAGGAATGTGTTGTGAGGACATACTTTGCCCTCTTGTGGTCTCTACAAACAATTCCTGCACGAAAACGTGTGTCCTTTTCAAGACACTGTGGAAACATTTAAATGTCCCCATTCCTAAATGAGCCTTGGGGATGTACTTCTGTCCACTGCCCATGCTGAGCCAATTTGAGGAAATTCCATATTCTAAAACAGGAATCATTCGCCTTCATTGCACTGTGTTCAGTCGCTACAAACTCAGCCTCTGGTTTTATTCATTTCATATTTTTTTAAACGTGAGGTTATTACATGGCATGGATCAATTAGACAATTGTTATCAAAAGTACAGAATTGCAAGTTTAAGACCGCATTCCTCTGACAGTTAAGCTTATTTTTAGATGTTTCTGCTCATTGCCAGATGTTCAAATCCAAGCTCGCATGTTTAGGTGCATGCTGCACCGTGGTTAACAGGAAGTTTTGGGTTCGATCCCGACCCTGACGCCTGATGTATATTTGGAGTTTACATTCTCTCGCCCCGTGGTCGTGTGGATTTTTCTCCGGGTCTTCCGGATTTTTCCCTCCATATTAAAAAAATAGCGTTTACATTATGAGACCTCCTTTGCCAGTAGCAAGATATAGTAATAGGTTTTTACCCTTTTATCTGGCACCAAAACTGACACCTTTATACAAGGGATCATGTTTGCAATAACCACAACACAAGCAGTCAAAATGCAAACAAATAAAGACAACTCTGAAAATGATATGCACTGTCCTTGAAATTTATTGGTCCACACCCGAGACGGCTTTTCTTAGAGCCTAGTCTCCACTGGTGTTGGATCAGATGACGCCAAAAGGCGTACAACTAAAAAACAACGCATTATCAGAGTATTGAGAGCTCGGGTTAAGCTCTGATGATATGCACTGTCCTTGAAGTTGCATTTTGACTGCTTGTGTTGTGGTTATTGCAAACATGAGATAAAAGGGTAAAAACCTATTACTAAAAATTTGCGTTTAGAGAATTTGGCTGTTATACATTTCCACGTGATAAGCCACTTCGCCGAGCTTTCATTTGTGACCAGATGGCTTTTGAAAAGAGCAATTTAGGTCAGTGAGCTTTACCTGGTAAAATAACAAGTTTTAGTTTAGGCTCAAGTCCCGATCTTCTTCTCCCCACATCCTACTATTTCGTACAGCATGTTCGGTTTAATTTAGATGCTCATATTCTTTGGGTCTTTCGGTAAAGTCACGAAGATAGACGACCGCTTGTGTTGCGATCGAAACGTCGTAGTTTTATTTTCTTTGAACCTACGTGACTACCGAAAACCCCAAAGAATATGAATTCCTGCAGTCACGAAAGCTTTAAGTCAAGATTTAATTTAGATGCTGTATAAACTCAAATCGTAGTGTTATTGTATTCTATCATCTCGTCAGATAGCACGTTATACATTCGTGCTATCGGTTGGAGAATACGACGCATCCTTCCAGCAGTTGACAATCTCCAGCTTCATCGTCAAACATTACCAGACTCCATGAGCCCAACCTCAGTTCACTTGCATCCTGCCTTGACGTGTCTCTCATCTTGGATTGGCTTAACATTTAACAAAATGTTGCCAAAATGCAGCACTCTAGATTGGAGAAAGTCGACTCGGCAAACGCTCTAGTTCTAAAGGCGTTTCAAATAAGGGCTCAAGGGGCATTTAACTAAGAGATACGATTGGAGCTTTAAGTCTGTGGCTATCAGACGTAGAACTTCTTTCACGTCGGACGTAGCCAACAGGGTTAATCGGAAGCGCAGATACTAGTCACCTGACCGCACCACATCTGCGGTATGCATGTTTCAATTAACAATGTAATGGTTTTAAATATATTTTCATCTATCAAAGTTTTGTACAGAATGCAATTATCTGTAAAAGGTTTAAAAATGCACTCATTTGTTTCACAACGCTTAACTTCCACACATCCATTTCCAATTTGGCAGTTTGCATATTCAAACATTCCACAATGTTTGAAATCAAATTTCGCACAAACCCTTCCCGATTTGAAACGCCCAGTGTTGTTGATAATCTTGAAAGTTTGAAGCACACCCACACATTCGCCGTGTTTTGGTAAACATTGTCATTCATGGGTACGATATTTTTTTTGTCTTGCATTTGAAGGCTATGGTGTGCCAATGCATGTGCAAAACCCTGGACGGAAAGCATTAAAATTAGTCGCATATAGAGACAGAATCCTTTATTGGTTGAAACAAACTCAAAAGCCATGCAGAAGGCAATGTACAACATACAAGAACTTGCAACGGATCTCCTGCTACATGTTACTAAAGCAAGCCTCGGCACATTATAAATCCTTCTCAAAATACCAAACCGCAAACGTTTTGATACCAGCATGACAGTGAACTTTGATAAATCCAAATTTCTGCCGGTCTTTTTCCACCAATTAAAAACACGTATGCATGTTTCATTTCTGCCCTTTCATCTAGTTTAAAATTTGAGGTTGTTTTTCATTAGAATCCAATTAAAATTTTCAAAAAAACACTTCCGAAGCCCACACCCTGGACATGTTCATCGTATAGGCATTAAAACACAACTGGACTCCTACCCAGGAAACGTCATGCACCTATACGATTAGTGTGGCGTTGGCTTACGTCCGTGCAATATTACCGCCATTAAAGCTGTGTATGCACTACAACGAAGAGTGCCAAGGTATTTTTTAATTAAATTTAGGAATGGAGATGATCAGTTCATCAGAGCCCCTTCAAACAGCACAAGCTTATTAAAATGGAATATGCAAGTTGAAAGTCAATTCTGAAAGCATTATTTTGACTCAATCAAATGTAAACAATTTAACAGTATCATGGAGAGTGAGTTAACCGTTTTTTTTAAGCCCACTAAAAATGATGTCCAGATGTTAATCGTACACACATTTCAATGAATAACACTACCTGAAATTACACTGCACACCCAATTACCATATCGAGACGGCCACTCATGATATGGCAAAAATCTCGAAACAAGTTATTCTGTCACAGCAGTTGATATTCTCCCTCTTGTATGCAAACCAAAGCACTGTAGTGATATGCACAAAGTGGAGTAAACACTGCGGCATATTATTCACTAAAGTAACCAGAACAAGAATATCGGTATCAGCCATGACTTGTCATTGCACTCCATGTAGGAATGATTGGTCAAGGTTATATGAAGATCCATAATTTGATGCAATCGATAAATTGTAAAAACAATCATTGAAAATACCTTATATCTTAAAAAAAAGCTTAATTTTACTTTGCGCCAAGATGTGCCAGATTTTGAATAAGTTAACATCTCCAGATTTGTAAAATCAGCTTCAGTGAAACGCCCCTTCCTGTCATGGCGATTCATGTACAGAATGTATGCCAGTCAAATGTTAATTTGAAGAACCATCAACTTTAACTCACAGCCCAAGACATTTGAGGACTATCCATAGGAATGAGTCATGAAGTGGCAGTTTTGGAACAGCCTATTCATGAAGGAAATGGCTTATTTTATTTAACACCACACATGCAGTCCCACTTACGGTATTTTTCTGTTACTGCACAGGTGTGGAATGTTTACTTTGGAACACCCTCCTTTTCTGCTACAAGCTGTGAACAAATCAATCCGGACTATTCTGCTCTTTTCAGTGCCAATAATCTGCTGCCAAGTAACCAATTATCATGGGTCTCACTTAACCAAGCCAGGTCATTGCACAACATCTACACGTAGACACTAAAAACACTCCAGGTGACGCACAATAGGTGAGTACCATGCCAGTCATGAATTCAATAATACCAAATATTAAAAAAGGTTACTACAGTATAACAAAATGTGTTTAAGGATTAAAAAGCTTGTGAGCACACTACCACGAGGCAATGAGGAAACAAGATTTGGTACGATGCAAAATCTAGTACAGTTCTTACAAAAAAAACTTCTACTTAAAATAGCCGTTCAAAAAATAGCACGTAAAAAATAACCTACTGTAACTGTTAACTGTAGTGAATAAAATTGATCAAATTTGTTTTGTTTTTTGGAAAGTTTGGGTGGGGAAGATGAGGCACTTTCAGGTCATCTCAATGGATCCTTCCAAGTCAACAGGATGAACGGATCAGAGTTTGCCTAAAAAAGGACAAAGAATAAGCACACAGGTCAAGCAGACAAAATCGATTAAAATCACAGAAAGCAGCAAGATAAATCGGTAGCAATGCCCAGTTTCAAATTAAAGGAGTATGTGGCAATATGAATGCCACCAGTGTTAAAAATATACATATATTTATTTCACCATACATATATGCTAAGATAATCTTAACCGGCTGCTTGTTTCTAAGTGGGTAAATAAAAATAGGCATAACCTTTGTTGGTACTTTAGCTCTTTGCATAAATGTAGTGCCTTACTCATTTTAAACATGCATTTGTTTAAGAATCAATGTATTCCCAGTTCATCCATGTCTCACATTTTGTTCTCTAACTAAGGCTTTCATTGCATGTTGAAACAGAGTTGAAACAACTGCTCGGTAGAAAAAGAAAATTATAACTCTGCATCCATTAGCCAGCACTCATGCCCCATGATGGGCACAGCTGAATTAAGTAATCGGATCTCAAACAATGTTGATATTACATTACAGACTAATTGATGCAATAAAGGCTGTACTCCAGCACACATGTTTGCTAAAACCTCTGTGAAGGGTACCATAACTATGGTTACCCGCACATTAACAAAGTAAAGCGCTCTATTCCTGAGTGGATCATCCTGGACCCATGGAGAGTTGGGTACTCATCTTCTGGCAGCAGCCCAGCCTACTTTGCAAAAGTCACCTCGACTCGGCCACTCACCCCACTCACACATTGAGCACTCACTTTCTGATGTTGCTCATAGGCGCTGCCTACTCCTCTCCTAAACCCACCAACTATTCAGGTAGCCCTGTCCTCTGCACCCACATGAGTAAAGCATGAAGTTAGAAAATGTTCAACTGGCACAAAACCCTAATTCTTCCTTCAGGAAGCCACGACAGCCTTTTTGAAACCAGAAGTGTCGCAGCCAAACGAGGACTTTGTAACTATGACGAGGGTGCCCCACCAACGCTATTGTGACAGGAGGTGCGCGCTCACCTGTGCTGCGGTGGTTAGAGGTCCGAGTCGAACCAGGCGACGTGGCCGTTCTCAGTGGGATGTGGTGCCAGGCCGATGTCCACGTCAGGCCCGCCAGGGTGGGCTAGCTCGGGCAGCATGTCATGGAACTCAGGCCCATTGCCATGAGGCCCTGCCAGATCGTGGTCCATCATGGGGTCCAGACCCATAGGCTCCCCCATGTAGCCACCTGGAATAAGAACATAAGCTCCATAATGCATCAAATATCCAAACATTAAACATTTACATGCATCAAGTGATTTCCTGAGCATTGCGGCAGTGCCCATCTCCTCTTTACAGCCCTGAGCCAGTGGTGAAAATTATACATTACCAGAGGGAGAATCTATCCATAGGAGTGTTGACTACCTGTATACTTTCTAATTTTAGCACGCACAGCCACTGTCACATCCCCTGAAGTGACCGAAGTGTGTGCGAGTGTGCATCTGCCAATATAATTAAAATGTGTCCCTCAGTAACGAAAAGGTTCCTTTACCACTTTTCTAATAATGCATGTGGTTCATATATGCTCAAGCAGAATGAGAATACAAAAATGGAAAGTTTGTACATAGCCTAAGCTTAGTTTTATGGAAGTGTGGTTGATATGACGATGTATATTTACATCATATTGTTTGTTAATATATGCTTAAGACCAAAAACGGACTCATAAAAAGCAAGATTAGACAAAAGGTGCGCTTCTACGTACCTCCATGCTGCATAGGGCTGGGCCCGCTATGCAGGCTGCTGTGGCTGCCGTACATGCCGTCCTGGTGGTACTGCGGGTCACCCTGGTGCAGAAGGTCAGTGCCCATTACGCCACCCTGTTGTGATGCAATACGTGCAATTGTTTACAGGAGTGGAGACTGCTTGCCTGACCTGCGCCATGCTCAAATCCAGCGCAGCATGTCCCCCAACACAAATGAGGAAGGTTAAGCTAAATGGACGTATTTGGTGGTTGACAGGTGGAGCATAACACACCAGTCCTCATAAAAGTCTAAATTTGAATAAGCATAGCTGTTGTCTTTAATTGACCCTGCCACCAAGTCTGATGCAATTCGAAGGTTTGTCTACCGAATTTTGCTAAAAAAAAGGCAAAAGAGTATTGAATTTTGGTTCATTGAATGAAGGAATCGTCTGACCAAGTCTAGGGCACGAGTCAAATATGCCTTTGGAGCATGGAGCAGACAATCGTCATCAGGCTGTTTGCTGCTATACGGCAACAGACTTCTCGTTCAGCTGTTCGTAACATGTCTTCTGACTGCTTGGACATGGAGAAATTATTTTGACGCACCCTGCAAGATCTTCTGGCCAGGGTTGCACATCGCAGGGAAAATAAACATTTGTAAAAAATGTCCTTTTTTATACTGCACACCGTGTACCGCCAATACGTGCAAATTGCTGAGCAATCGTTTTAAAATTCCATCAATGCTCCAAAACTGGCACAGGAAGAAGGCCCACTGATGCCAACATTGGATTATAATTTAACAGCAGATGCTGCATGACAGATGTAATAAAAAATATTTTGCAAGTACATATCTAGGTTGCGTGTCTCAGGCTGTCTTGGTAGGAGTTAAGTATAATGAGAATACCGACTTTAAAATCGTGATTAGGCACATTGCCAAATCACTAATGGTGACAAGCTGGGGACAGCATTTAGAAATATGTACAGAAGCTTTATTTGGGTTGCGTATGCCTTTACAGTTGTCACCGATTACTTAGAAACATTTATGTTTTGAAATTAATACCGATGCTTGTGGATAAATAACTCGTGAAAAGTTCACCACAGCTGCTCACCTCACCCCACGCGTTTGGGTCATCACGGAAAAGTGAGTGGGTGAGTTCCACCGACAACCTCTTCTTGAAGTCTTGCGGTTTGTCCTCCGACATCCGGAACAGCACCGCGGCAGCGTATGTGGCTGTGGCGGCATTAATATTAACATAAAATAAAGGCAAGCGTGAAGTGCATATTTACATGTCCATCAACGAACAGACACCACATGTAAAACAAATGCAATGACAACCACCGTTTTCATTATACAAATAGAAAACATGTAAAAACTACGAGTCAACCTTTCAATAAGGTCACTCCTTCCCTATTCCTGCACCTGCTCAATAGAGCTACATATGACCATCTGCATTGGCTAACTCCATCCCTTGATTCCAAGTCCAAGCTGAAGATCTCCCTCCAAGGTCACCACTGCCTAGGACTGATCTTTCCATCTATGCAAAAAAGTCATTCACTCCAGTGGTCAACTTACCCCCCTAAACCTTCCAAAAAGACTATTAAACAATGTACTCTATGCATATTTTACTTAAAGTACTGTATGTGCAGCAATAATGTGGAGCTGATTTTTTTATTCCTAAATTCCAAATAAGAATTGAGCAAGAACATAAAAACCTATCAGCTTAAACCACCAGAATTCTACAATACAATTTAGATATGCAGAGCATAAAAAGAGAATGCATATTAAGATGCTATGAATACAAAGTTGGGATATTTAGAGAATCAGTCTGTCAAAGGCAAAATAACAAGTCTTGAGCCTAGACTTGAACAGGCCATGGGGGGCAGCAGAATAGATCGTGTGACCTCCCACTGACCGAATATTCACTGGGGCATTCATAAGAAGACCTTGGTTGCTGGACCAGAGCACATGGAGGGAAGTAGTGAGATGAGAGGGGAGAGATAGGCAGGGGCCGAGTCCAGGAGATCTTAAAATAAAATCTTCAAATTGTTCTGGGATTGGAGAGCCTGCGGAGGGATTGGAGTATTGAGGAGCGAGCTCAAATTTCCAAAGGCAGACCGACACAGCAGTACAACGCATCTACAACTCGCGCACGCCTCACCGACTCCCTCGTTGCGCGAGTGTAGGAGCTCCGTAAGCGGTGCCGTTGCTCCCTCGGTCTCAATCGTCTCGGCTGCTTCCTTCTCCTGCGCCAGCTCGCACAGGACGCCGGCTGCCACACGCTGGATGTTCTCGATGTTGGAGTAGAGCAGCTGGCAAGGAAGGATGGGAAGGCCTCTTTCTTTAACCGCATGGTTTCAGTGTAAGAGCCTGAAAGGGCCAGCTTTATTTCGGGTATGGCAGAGTGCAGCAAAGTTTTTGAAAAATAAAATCCATCCCACATGGGAACCATGCACAAGGCTGGCACTCCTCCCAAGGCATCCGGAGTTCATATAAACAAAAATGTGACCAATTCAAACACTGTGATGCACGTGGTGTTTAACAAAAACTCTAAGGGTTAGCAAGATTATTAAACTTATCCTATCTTTAGCCATTAACATCCTATTTGGCATATCCCACACAATGCCCTCCACTATTCACAATCCATTACCAACTCCATCCAGTTTGTTACAAATCTTTCAAACAAATCCAGCAATGTCATTGTCTACTTACCACTCTCGTCTTGCCTCCCATCAGCCTACCTCCGGTTAACAAATCAAATTTGTCATCAGATGTCCTGGCTACAGGTCCTGTCCAACTCCATGTAAAATTGTATTCATTTGTAAACTACCTCCGTTATCCTAGATTTCAGGCTCAAACATTTAGTACGCTGAATTGTGCCTCATCTCAAGGACATGAAACCACTTACAAGTGTAAGGGACACCGAGAGGCAAACCCTGTTAAGAAATGAATATTTGCTCAGCGGATCGAAATAGCTTGCGATTAACACTTGGCTACGTACGGTGCAAAATAAGTTCATACATACAAATAGCGTGCGCGACTCATTGGCGAGCTATCGCAACACGGGAGCCAATGTTGGGCGCACAATCCAATTGGAAGGTGAACAACCATTCCAATTAGGTGGGTCAGGGTTATTTTGAAGAGCCCAGAAACAACCAAATGCAAAGGGAGGGGTTGTTGGGAGACCGAGCATGGAAACCAAGGGGATTGGTGGAGAGTCGGTGAAAGTTCCAGAAAGGGTGTGGAAGAGAATAAAAATAGTGGCTGGAAAAAGGTGTAGGCACCCGAAGGCAGGAGTTCCCTCAAGTGTCACGTGCTGTGCTAAAGACAAAGTCCCAAGTCTTTTGCAGGCTGGAACTTCGTTACAAATAAACATTTCTACATAGCACATAAATGATACAATTTCAGGTGCCTTATAAAGTATATCATACACTATGTTGTCACGAGGTATTTACCCTATTGAAAAGTGCCCACAAGAGTGCCAAAACAATCATTTCAAAAATGAAACCGGATTTCCCCGACGGCTATCAGTCGGCCACGTATTCTTAATTAAATACGTCTGAAAATAAATGCATGCTGCAAAGTTTTACATAGGCCATGCATACATTTTTCCCCAATTTGTTTTATAAATAGTTGCTTTAGAATGGACACCCTACAAGTGTGCAACAACGCAATTGCATAAGATTCCCAAAACCATGGTAAGGAAAGCAGACAAACTCACCTGGACGAATAGCGGTACGGTGTTCAGGCCGCGGATAACACTTCGGTTGTGCGCGTCACGAGCCAAGATGTGCAGCGCACCGGTGCAGCCCTCGACTATCTCCTCCATGCGAATGCCATCCTACACAACAAGCACATGCAGCAGACACCAGTTAAAGTCATAACTTTACTAGCAACAATATTAATATTGTATATGAAGTCCACTTTTCGCTTCACCTTGTAAATCAGTGCTCCTCAATTCCATTCTGGAGAATTCACATCGTGTTCCGTTTGTACTTCTGACAGTTTAGAGTATCTGGCTGCTATAAAATTTCCACGTGATAAGCCACTTCATTGGGATTTTATTTGTGACCAGGTCGCTTCTGAAAAAGAGCTATGTAGCTCAGTGGGCCTTACCTGGTAAAATATTGTTTAACAGTTTTTTTTCCCATATCATGTGCTAAGCAGACAATTAGGTAAACGAATTTAAATGAGTATTACACGAAGATTAATATTTGTTTTTGGGATTAGGCTGTGGTAGTTTTAAGCCAAAATACTTGTCATTAACTCTCCACCTCCTGACAAGACTGTCACACGTTTACAAAAATTCTTTGTATACAGGCCAACGTACGGGCGTACCTCAATAAGATGTTTGAGTTGTGTTCTTGAAGACCTGAACGTTAAGTGAAGAATGTAATATATACATGTTTTCATACAAGGTCCCATTATATAACAGTGTGTTTAGTTTGTCGTCCTTTACCCGCACCTCCGATGAGCATGGTTGGCTATGTATGGTGTGAAAGAAGTTCATACATATAACACCTAAGGATGCATAAGAAAATATTTTCCGACCCAAAACCTGCTAAAATAATCCTTTAAGACAATTAAGATATTTTGATGTACATGGAGAATAATAACTAAACAAGCACTTACAAATACAATACACTGTAATTTAGTAACCAGAAACTGTGGTGTGTGTTATGCGAGGTGTGAAGGGGTGGAAGGTTATGGGGGAAGGGCAAGGGAGGGGAAGTAGGGGAGTGATGCAACAGTAGTAAAACTGGCTCATAATCAAGTGATTGCGTTATGAAACCGTGAGACCAGCCAAACAGCCTGGGACCATATAAAATGCAAACAATCGACAATTGTGCATTTATTATTAGTTGCTTTTTTCCCAAAAAAATATAATTTAGGATGTTCAAGTATCTTCACGAAACAAACGGCGCGTAAACGACTATCATATTACTAATTGACATAAATCAGGGCACACCTGGAATTTTCATATCTCCTTACTGGTGGCTTAGGACTTATCAAAACTGAATTTACAACCGATGACATTTCACTGACGACTGAGCATCGTCAGGGAGAGAACCTGGGAATCAAGTTTTAAATTACACACGTCTGAAATGTGAGGTTTATCAAGGTAGGACCCTGTGGTTAGACAAGTAAGCCGAATGGACAAAAATAAGCCATAACAAATTATAAATACAATAAAAAATGGGAGAGGGCTCAAATAGTTAAGCTTTCAATAAACATGATTCTATGGACCACCTCCTTTGCAATTAAATGAACCATCATGATAAAATGGACAATGGTTTTATACATGAGTATTTACAATGCAAAAAAAACTTGTATAACCGTCTTGTTTGATCCATAAGCCTCCTCATTCAAGGCTGCATGGAATAGTGCAAGAACAAAATCACATTTTACATTTGTAGTATTTATATATGTAGTCAATTTATTTGCTGATGAAAGCTAAGAATTTCTGTTCATTTAAGTAACAATGCATGTCAACAGCCTTCAATAGGAGGTCCAGCACAACTGCAGCAGCACTCACCACATACTGCGGCTGTCCATTGGCAGCCACTCCCTGGCGCTGGGTGTCCTGGTGGGCGCGCACGAGCAGCTGCACAAGCCGCGGGATTGCTCCGTGGTCTCGAAGCGGGGAGTGGTTGGCGGGCAGCAGTGCCAAGTTACGGATCAGCCCAACCACAGCCTGTAAGGGCACAGAGAATGCACACAAACAAGATTAAAGCTCCTAACCCACTCAAGCTGTTGTGGAACGAGTGCTGTTCTTGAACTCCTGACAACCATAAGACATCCAAAGTACCACCAGGCAGCCTTTTTCCAGAGGTGTAATCATTACGGGCATTGCAGAACAGATAATTACCTTGATAAGAGGCCAGCGCGAGGGTGGCTGCAGAAGCTTGACAGTGATGGGCAGGCCATAGTGGAGGCGCACGGCATTCTGGGCCAACTCCGCATCAGGGTGGCGGCTTGTGAGGTGGCGCAGAGCGCACACAGCTGGTTCAGTAATGTCCTCACGGTCACCCGCCTGCAGTACAGTCTGTACCAGTGCTTCGATACCACCCACCTGGGACGAGTGCAGTACGAACACACATCGCTCAATAAGGGCTTGCGAGCGAGGGGTGGCTCTCACAAGTAAAAGCATTTGAGGCAAAAAATGGATCGCAAGTTTGTAAATTCAAACCCACTGAAGCTAAAGGTGCCCAGGAGATGTGTGTGGATCTTTTGAGCGTTATTCCATTAGATTTTTGGGTTTTATCTGGGTACTTCTGTATGCAAAACTCACGTATGTGGCCCAACATCTGAAAACAATACCCATTTTGAAAGTCGAGGTTCAGCAAGGCTTTCCTATATGAAGAAAAAACATGATTGTCCTCATCTTTTCCTCTCGGTAAATAAGCACAATAAACTGAGCTCCAAATGCCTGTAGCCATCAATGGCCACCTTTTCAAGGATTCACTTCGTCAGCGGTGCGCTGGCTTGCTGAAAACACAGGCACACCTGGCAGACGACCATCTTGTTGCGGTAGTTGTTGCATGTGAGGTTGGAGAGAATGCCAGCTCCACATGTCACCACGTTCACATCGTTAGAGCCCAGCAGCTGCACGAGTGATTGCAGCAGACCTTCCATGTTCTCCTGGAGATTCACAACGCACAACTTACTGTCAGAAACATTCAAACTAACAATAGGAAATGTAAGTATGCGTCACCATGTTGTTTTCCTCTGCCGAAACTTGAAACCGGTCCAGTTTATGTATAAACTTAAACAATGTGTGTGCATGTATAGCCAGTTCTCAAGCCACTGCTGGATGATGGCCTCCCCAGACTTTGTGGGCCATGATGGATATTTGACTATACGTCACCACTGGTCAGGACTGATTAGCGAAGAATGGAGAATGCAGAACACTATTTCATGCACTGCCCTTTCACGTATGGTAGTTACCCATATAAGCACCATCCAGGCTCAACTCTGCTTAGCTTCCGAAACCTAATGAGATATAGGGTGCGCATTCAAGGCAACATGTTCATAAGCACTTACGCAAATGCTGATGGAAAACACTGATCTAGAAAGCCCATATGCTGATTTATACAAAATGTTAATATTTTTGAATTTGGCGAAGGATCCTCATCTGTTTATTTTATTTTTTAACTACCTACAATAAGGAGAGTTTGCTGAGTGACACCTTAGGCTTAAATGTCAACTGGCCACAATACCTCATCTCCTGACAAAGAACACAGTACATAACACAATTACAGCCATTATCGCTTTTTTGTGGGGGATACACATGTTTTTGACAATTTTAAAGTTCAATTCTGATTACTAACATGTTCACCTTTAAGCAGCTTTACAAAAGGCCATTTTACAAGAATTGCAAAGTTGTATAGTATACCAGTGACAGTGCAGTATACATAAATAGTCACCCCCCTTACGATGTTATTTGTCGTCAGAGTTAAGTCACCATGTCAAGACTCCAGTGGTCTGCAGGGTCTATGAAGCAATTATATACAATAGGAATTGAAAATAATAAATTCTTACAAGAGAGTTGATACATTCGTGAGCTGATTGATCAAGTTTAATAAATGAATCTATGTATGCCTACAGTAGTGTACCAGTCTACTGTGTGCTATACTGAAAAGCAAACAAAGCATCATAAACCACTCCGGCTCTCACGCCCGCCACAAGTATCCACAAAACCCCAGCCACCCTTCCCCCCACTGTTATTCATCCACACACCTTTCAGCAGCCTGAAATGCAGCACTGATGAAGGCAACAAGGGGCTGAGCATCTCATCCACTTATTCACAAAGAGCTTTCACTTCCTGTGACTAACAATGGTGCGTTGTTTACCTCCACGGCTCACTCAGTGGGGGAGCGGAGGTGAACATGGGACAGTGTTGGTGGATTCTTATTGATTTTATTTCACCAAGCCAGATGTTTTATCATGGGACCTCCCTTGTCAGTATCAAAATATAAGAATAGGTATTACCCTCGGGCAATAAAACGGGTGTTAAGATATTAAAACACCAAACAGAATCCTTTTGCAAGGAATCATGTCCAAATTACCCACATACTTGTGGTGAACAAACACTGGTAATATATGCATTGTTTTTTAAACTGATTGGTCCACACCAGATAGCGTTCTTTAGAACCTAGCCTCAAACAGCGTTGATGTTGCCAGCTCTCCTGAGAGTCAAATCACCTGCTTAGTGGCGGCGTCAGAAAGGTTACGGAGAGTCCACAGGCAGTTCTGCATCAGCCTCTGGCTCGGACTGGTCAGATGGATTCCCAGAGCCTGCATCCCACCTGTGGTCACAAGACATATTTGTGCCCCGTTAACATGTGTACATGTCTAGCCCTTTTCTCTATACATTTGCTGGAAGAGAGCCTTCCCCCCAATTCAATGCGAGTTTGTAGGAGTTCAATTTTGATTTAAAGCTTTCGTGACTGCAGGGATTCACATTCTTGGTTCTTTCGGTAAAGTCAAGTAGAAGGGAAACAATAAATTAAAAAATATAAAACAATAAAATGTGGTTTTCACACCTGATGATGATTGCTTGTGTTGCAGTCGAAACATCGTGAGAATTGTTTTATATTTATTATTTTATTGTTTCCCTTCTACGTGACTTTACCAAAAGAACCAAGAATATGGTAGGAGTTATTTGACAATACATCACCATGCTGGTCACGGTATGGGTTAAAAGGTGGGCAGTTTTTACATTGGAGCATAGTACAGACGACTTGTTTTCTGGAAATCATAAGTGTCTCAAATTTTGTTAAAGAGTCTTCGCATTGCGATGTTTGGCCCATTAACATTTGGCTTTATGGTCGGAGACCAGGGAACTCAAACACCAAAGCCTACAAAAGGGTCAAATTCAAAGCCCCACATTAAATATTAAATTGCTGTCCTGTCATCTCCTGGTCACCTTAAAATACCTGATATTCCCAGGCAGTTTCACAAGTACTAACCTGGCCCAACTTCTTAGCTTCCAAGATCAGTAGTAGTAAAGACATTCAAGTAAAAAAAATTGCTGTATTTCAGCTTGTACATGCAGAAAGCTTTGAAAATATTACACCATGTATATTGGAGAACAATATAACATTCGAATAGGGTCTTCAGTAAAAGCAGGCTATGGGCACCACTAAAAATGATAAAAATAAGCAATGAAAAAAATTCTGCCTTTGATGAAGCAAATCTAGATCACAGCCCAAGGCAGCAGCACAAAAGCTACGCACCCCACCACCACACTTTCAGGCAAATAAACAGGATTGAAAGGAAGGCAATTCATTTATATCAGCATGATCTTGCATCAGTGATTCGCAAAAAAGCCCACAACTCCCTCAGGGGAAAAGGGCTGAACCAGAAAATGCTGCGAACCATTGCATTATAGAATACAGCTGGGAATGTGACAGCCATGCACATAGAAATAGGTATATAAAAGAGCGCAATTAGGACATCCATTCTTATACATATCAAAAGGGACCCAGAGTATGCGCTTGTTCTGTCAGTGTACCAATAAACACAATTTGACAGGAACACAATTCGTTCCTCTCGCTTTAGGTGGGATAAAGTGTCAATTTTGATCCACTCATGCAAAGCAAGAGGCAAACAGTCACACCACTCCCTCCCATGCACATTTAAAATGGGACAGTGCAATCTTAATTGGCCAGAACATGAATTATAAATTATGTTAAATGTGGGAGGAAATTAAGTACCAAAATAGTGAGATTGGCGGAAAGACACCGCAACTGAACATTTGATATTCTTTGGGTCTTTCGGTAAAGTCACGTAAAGACAAAAGAATATGAATTCCTGCAGTCATGAAAGATTTAAGTTAAAATGTATTTTAATGACATGCGCTTTATAATAAAATGTCCAAATAGGAATTAAATTATCGTGCAAAAAATGCTACCGCTTTAACTTGTACATAACCTACTGCCGTAATTAGTAATATTAAGATCAGAGTTTATTGGCGCAATAATAATGAACTATTTTAAGCTACTGCCAATTTTTTTTTTAAACAAAATACTTCGTACAATTTTCTGTATTAAATAATTCAGACTCGAAGCTGTTTTGGGTCTACTGTCGGTGTCATTTTGCATCCTTTTTCAGTCAGATACTCTCCTCCCTCATAATGCAAGTTATTTTAAGTTTACCTGAAAAATCCTCAATGAATCTCAAGGTTATATTTCATAAAGGTGGGTTCTGCATAGGGCTATTGGGCCAATTCCATTGAAGAATATTTTGTATGTGTGAAAAACCATAAACCACATGTGCAAGAACAGTAACAAAAACATCTGCAGAAATAGGTTAATAAGCCCATTTGGCATAATTAAATCTCAACCATCTCGCGACCTTGCGGGTCAAGGAGTTTCACAAGTCTGCTTGACCCACCAACTCTCGTCTCCAAAGTGCTGGAGCATAGGCGTGCGCCATCATCATAATATATTCCCTTCTACTTTGTCCCCTGCATGCAGCCCGCATAACTCACCAGCCTCCACAATGGCAGGCTTGTTACTGGAGCACACGGACAGCACTTTCAGCACCCGGCTGGTGGTCCACAGCAGCTTCTCATAGCTGTAGGTCCTCATGATGTGCACCAGCCCAGTGGGGCCCCCACTGGCAAGGATGATCAGCTGTGGGGATAAGGGTAGTTTAGTCAGCCTTGCATTAATCAAATAGCCATGAGCAATCCACTGCAAGGGATTAACATTTTTTTTTTATAATTGTTACATGGAACAGATAAACTGGGGCTACAAGAATAAATTACCAAAATACATTAATAGGGGAGCTAGACAAGGAGACATGTTTTCAAGGTAGTTCAGTCTTGTATTACCACTACTTAAAAAAAAGACACGATTGAAATCTTACGAATGGCACTAAATTAGGTAAGATGAAAAAAATATTTAAGGTTAAAAACAGCATATTCCGATTCATATATTCCCATTAGCATTTAGTACAGCTTACATCAAAATGAACACTTAATTGTTTTCATACATTATGTAAAAAAAATATTTGTATATTTGTTTTATATTACAGTTTAACTGTCGCAGTGCTGGACTTTGGAATCCAAAAAACTCTGGTCCAACATTATATACGAGCATTTTTTCAATAAACAGGCTAATTAGGATGGTGAGCTGCCTCACACCTTGCTCTCCTGGTTGCCATAGGCCAGCAGCTGCAGGCAGTCGGTGGTGATGGCAAGAAACTTCACGTTGCCCTTGTTCAGCAGGGCCACCATCTTCTGTAGCCCGCCCGCCAGACGCACGGCCATCTTGCTGCCCTCCTGGTGCAGCAGCAGGTTGTGCAGCGTGGTGATGGCGTAAAACAGCACCGACTCCACCGGACAGCTAGTGAGAGTGAAGCCACGTGTTAACAAAAAAACCCAGGCTCGCTCAATGCAGTACGTTATTTGCCACGACGCACTGTGCCTCAGGTGTTTCACGTTACAGTGAGGGGAAAAAAGTATTTGATCCCCTGTTGATTTTGTACGTTTGCCCACCGACAAAGAAATGATCAGTCTATAATTTTAATGGTAGGTTTATTTGAACAGTGAGAGACAGAATAACAAAAAAATCCAGAAAAACGCATGTCAAAAATGTTATAAATTGATTTGCATTTTAATGAGGGAAATAAGTATTTGACCCCTCTGCAAAACATGACTTAGTACTTGATGGCAAAACCCTTGTTGGCAATCACAGAGGTCAGACGTTTCTTGTAGTTGGCCACCAGGTTTGCACACATCTCAGGAGGGATTTTGTCCCACTCCTCTTTGCAGATCTTCTCCAAGTCATTAAGGTTTCGAGGCTGACGTTTGGCAACTCGAACCTTCAGCTCCCTCCACAGATTTTCTATGGGATTAAGGTATGGAGACTGGCTAGGCCACTCCAGGACCTTAATGTGCTTCTTCTTGAGCCACTCCTTTGTTGCCTTGGCCGTGTGTTTTGGGTCATTGTCATGCTGGAATACCCATCCACAACCCATTTTCAATGCCCTGGCTGAGGGAAGGAGATTCTCACCCAAGATTTGACGGTACATGGCCCCGTGCATCGTCCCTTTGATGCGGTGAAGTTGTCCTGTCCCCTTAGCAGAAAAACACCCCCAAAGCATGTTTCCACCTCCATGTTTGGCGGTGAGGATGGTGTTCTTAGGGTCATAGGCAGCATTCCTCCTCCAAACACGGCGAGTTGAGTTGATGCCAAAGAGCTCCATTTTGGTCTCATCTGACCACAACACTTTCACCTAGTTGTCCTCAATCATTCAGATGTTCATTGGCAAACTTCAGACGGGCATGTATATGTGCTTTCTTGAGTAGGGGACCTTGCGGGCACTGCAGGATTTCAGTCCTTCACGGCGTAGCGTTACCAATTGTTTTCTTGGTGACTATGGTCCCAGCTGCCTTGAGATCATTGACAAGATCCTCCCGTGTAGTTCTGGGCTGATTCCTCACCGTTCTCATGATCATTGCAACTCCACGAGGTGAGATCTTGCATGGAGCCCCAGGCCGAGACTGACAGTTTTGTTTTTCTTCCATTTGCGAATAATCGCACCAACTGTTGTCACCTTCTCACCAAGCTGCTTGGCAATGGTCTTGTAGTCCATTCCAGCCTTGTGTAGGTCTACAATCTTGTCCCTGACATCCTTGGAGAGCTCTTTGGTCTTGGCCATGGTGGAGAGTTTGGAATCTGATTGATTGCTTCTGTGGACAGGTGTATTTTATACAGGTAACAAGCTGAGATTCGCAGCACTCCCTTTAAGTGTGTGCTCCTAATCTCAGCTCGTTACCTGTATAAGACACCTGGGAGCCAGACATCTGATTGAGAGGGGGTCAAATACTTATTTCCCTCATTAAAATGCAAATCAATTTATAAAATTTTTGACATGCGTTCTCCTGGAATTTTTCGTTGTTATTCTGTCTCTCACTGTTCAAATAAACCTACCATTAAAATTATAGACTGATCATTTCTTTGTCAGTGGGCAAACGTACAAAATCAGCAGGGGATCAAACTTTTTTTCCTAACTGTAAGTTCATTTAAATATTTCAATCAGATACAGACACTGAACAAAAGCCTAAACAGAATACCTATAGACAAGGCTCTATGGATGTTCATTGAAATAATTCATTGTTGCTATTTACTATGATGCCAAGACACAAGGTCAGTACCAAATTAAAAAAAAAACTGTCCTCTGGCACTTGCATAATTCACACTTCTGAGATGAGGGTTGGTGGATCAAGCAGATTTGAGATACAAACAAACCTGCTGAAAATGACAGCACAAGTGTGACTGAAAACATCTGTACAAACGCTTGAGCGTTAATCTGCTGTGTATGAATCCCCTCGTGTGCAATTTCCTCCCACATACAAACTCTTTAAATTGGAAACGTAAAAACATTCCAAAGCATGTAGAGACTACCTTAAGCTCTCCAGGATAAATCACCAGCCATGATCAAACCGCTGTTGGACAAAGGCCTTCCCCCCCAATGCTGCTGCTTTTCCGAGATGCAACAATCAACCTAGCACCTGCACTCGAGCCAATTTTATTTCTTCACATTGGACTTTGTCTCGTGTCCCCCTCTTGGTTGCCACTCTAGTCATTCTCCACCAGGCCAAGGCCCTCCTCCCATCACGCTTGAAAGTCAAGCGATCGCTGTACCTGAGCAGCTTGACAAGGGCGGGGATGCCACCGGACTTGAAGATGGCGAGTAGACCCTGGCGGTGGTGCGAGAGGTTGTGCAGGGCACCAGCAGCGTAGCGGGCGGTCTCCATGTCGTTGGTGTTCTGGGCTGCGCGCACGAGAGCCGACACCATCTGCGTCGACCCCATGATGGCGTGGCGGGCAGCTTCCTTCTTTGACAGCTGGTGCACCATCATCGCAGCGTGTCCCATCACAACCTGCACATCAGAGTGGTAGATAAATTACATTAATTCCCACTCGGCAAGTAAATGCAGTTGACTGCAAAAAGTTTTACATTTCTCACGGAAGGTGTGGCGCAGCAATGGACCAGATAAAGGCAACCGACTGCATTTGAAATGTTATGAAATTAAAGAAAAAAAGTGATAAATTAACTCCAGGAGTCCGTCGTCAGGAAGAACGATCGTACCATAGTTTCTTATACCTATACAACAGAGTGCTCGTTAAAATGTTAACCGGAGCCCTTCAGTGATATAAAATTGTCACCTGCCAGTGTTATAATTATACAAGTGGGCATCACAGACAAGAGCCGCCAGGTTAAAATACAAAAGCCTACACATCCACGGCACTGATGAGCGATTGGCAAAGATCAGAAAAACAAGAGCTGGCAGCTGTACTTACCGGGTCGTCATCGTTGAGCAGCTTAGTGAGCTCGGGTATGGCGCGCGTGGCCACCTCGGCGTCGTCCTGGTAGTTGATGAGGTTCACCACGGCCTGCTTCAGCATCTGCGATGGCTCGGCCAGGCGCTGCACGTTGGTCGGCTGCTCCGTGTCGAACTGAGTCGACGGCACCTGGACGCCCTCCTCCAGCGTCTCCGGGAACATTGCCGCTCGGATGCGCTGGGCGCGCGACGACGCAAACTGGCTCTCCACGTCTGGGCGGAGAGACGCCGGCGCCATTGGTCCACTCATTGTTTATACAATACAACTCGCAAGACAATTACAAATGTGGATTTATATAGCATCTAAATACAAATGCATCTCTAGGCACAATTCAGAAAGTGCGCATATAAATTATGTTGAGACGGGGTCTTTGTGAGAGTCTACAAAATAATAAGATTTTATGTAGACTATTGTAATGCGACAGTATACAGAAAAAGTCTGCATATTATTTTGTGGAGAAAAATATGAAGCGAGATCTGAGCGAGTCTAGAGGTCCTGACGTGAGCCTACAAGTTTATATTTGGGTCCATGGATTTACATCAAACCCTTATGGATCTCTGTGCGAGTCTACAATACAAGATTTTATATAGTATTTAAGCACAATCGAATCTCAAGACGCTGTGCAAAATCAGTATGCGCATTTCATTTTATAGGAGGTAGCCATTGGCAAAGAAAAAATATCTTGAGCCTGAACTTAAACAGGGGCAACAGGATATCACTGGGGGGAGTTCCCAATTATGGGGCAGTATAGGGTAAGTAATAAGGGACCTTCCACCGAGCAAGAGGTTAACTGGGAGTTTAAAAAGAATGTCTTGATTGCTGGAGTGCACGTGGAAGAGTTGAGTGATACAAGCAGCAAGAGGTAGGCAGGGCCGAGCCCATCGGAGGATCTTGAAGACACTGAAAGCAATCATGAAATTTACGTGGGATTACAATTGGGAGCCAGTGGAGTAACCAGAATACGGGAGTGAAGAGTCTGGCAGTGGTAATTTGGATGCGCCATTCTCACAAAACAGATGCACACTTTTTCAGGAAAGAGCTGATTTGTGCAAAGTACCTGCCACATTGTCGGGAGTGAAACCGTGGTTGAAGCTCTGCTCCCACTCATAGGTGATGCGCGTTTCATCCCCCTCATCAGGGTTTCCCTTGCCGCTGAGCGATGGCGCTGTGGTGTTGACGCCAGACTGGATGCCAGAGTCCAGGTAGGACTGCTGCTGCCATTGGGTCACCTGCACTTTGCGGTCAGGCTCCATTGCCATGTCGAGCTCCATGAAGTCAGCTGCAGGGCAAAAAAAAAGGTAAAATTTTCGCACGTAAACATATTGGCATCTGAAGGACAAACGCAGGGGACCGCCACCCCCCTTTTTGTATAATGGCACAGCCGTTTGATGACGCTGCACTTCACTAATCCCACTGGGGACTTCCCCCCTCGGCGAGATGACCAACCCAATTTTATGCAGACTTAAAAAAAGCACACATTTTATCTGGCTCTTCTGTATTATGTTAAACGGCCCGTAAGATGTACATCCAAGCAATTTTAGGAATTCAAAAAAAATTCAATATTTTCCAACAGGCAGCATGAAACATAAGCAGAATGAATTAAGACAATTTGCAGTTTCCAATCCCCGCACAGGATGGAAAATAAATACTATGGAGGTGGCTAAAAATTTTATTTCAATTGAAAATACAGAAGACCGAGCCAGAAAGGGAAGTGCGATTCTTCCCAATTTACCCCAGGTGTACTAAAGCCGTTTTTTACTGCCTTGAGATCCTTCATAAAAAGCGCTACACAAATGTCATTATTGTTCATTTAAAATCAGGTTTGGGGACTAATTAAAACAGAAAAATTTAATGTATTGGAAATGAGTGATACAGTGCGACAACACAACCCAACTGCAATTTAAAGAATGTGCAGTGGCTGTTTGTCGCCTACAATTGCAATCATAATGCCATCAACCTGCAATAATAACTAGCACTTCTGCATACACCCAATATCTCAGCACACGCATATTGGTTATTAATGCTTGCTCTAGGGGGCCCAGCACTTGGCCTTCAATGAATCGCTGCTCTTTCATGTCAATGCTACTGTTGGAAAAATGCAGACTTTTAGCCCGGTGCGTCATTATGGCATTGCCAGTGAACAAGAACCAGTGTCACTCGACGGGAGAGGCCTATTAAAAATCCAACTTGATCCTCGAGTCTAGCCCATAGGACAAAAGACTTTAAGGCTTGGCTAGTGCTGAAAAAAATGTCAGACTTATTACCAGAAAATTTGAATAAATCCCCTCATGACCTAATTAAGATTCATCTTTAGTAAAAGCAGAATAAGCTGTGCAGATACTGTCCACGACACACGGTGGTGGATCGTTGGGTTCAGAAGGTGAAACAGTAAACTTGAAAGCCTATATTGGATACATTGTGGTCATGTTCTAATCAACATGCAATGCTGAAACTAAATATCAACATCACATGGTCAATGAACAAGACTTGAGAGCTATTATTTTAACAAGTCAAATGGAAATTAACAATGTATTCAATTTGGTGTGAATGTCAAACACGTGACACCCGTTTCTGGGGGGGGTCAGCTTTCATGTTTAACAAAAAACAAATAGGTCCACTAAACATGCACATAATTGTCATTTGACTGCTCGGACACGTTGCCTTTTCATGAAAACATGAGTTGTTTACTTCTTTATATAATTAATATTGCACTTCAAATCAAACTTACGTTGTACAGCCATCTTATGTCCAGAGTTAGAGAGGGTTCTGTAATTTCAGAGCAAAGCTGTTGTAAGCCTTCACCTGAAAAGAGTAAAAACCACAAAACATGTCAAGATAAGCCAAAAATGACAATTCACTTGTGTGTGGATCGGAGATTTTACCACCGAGTACCAAAGGAACTATGCTATTAAAACATTTTCAATAGGGGCATTATTATACTGTATTACTGTATGTACACTTTACACAATGCCGTTTTTATAGAAAGACATTTTTCCTGTGCAATTAAAGTTAAATATAAAACATATAATTCCAAGTGCATCTAGGTAATGCAACAAGAGGCAGAACCAGACATTTGTGGATTGTGCCATGTTCTGCTTTATAGCAACGGCACATTTCCAGTGATGGCGTTGGTACAAGTGGTACTAAAATTGCAAGCATATACCTACAGGCGTGTTCCATATCATCTCACCTCAATGTCATGTTTACGTGCCTGGATCAGAACAGAGACCAAGCACACACCTTTCAGATTTCCCAAGCATACCAAGAGCTTTTTTTAAAATCTAATTCAAGAATGTAACAAGCACTAACCAACCATGCAGACTGACACGGGGCTCAACATCCAACATATGGCAAACACTTAAGTCAGCATTGCCTGTAAATTCCAAACACATCTGCAAATCTATACATAATATAAACAGCAACAAATCTCATCAATAGCCATGATCAATCCACTGCTCGATGAAGGCCTCCCATAAATCTGTCATTCCTCACGGTCTCACCTCTGAAAGATACAGGCTGACATCTCTTATACACATGGATTTACGGTTTTATTAGTCATTCAAACGGGTGTTGTAACCACATGCATTTCTAGACCCCAAAAAAATCGTAGGTAGGTGGGTGGGCACCCTCTATTTTACTTCCAGTATGTTTTACATTGCTCAATGCCATGACTCACAAATACCTTCCATTACCACCGCTCAAAAACCTACACTGCAATTACTATGACAACTGCGTATTATAGGAGATTAACTATTTACATTCTTTCATAGTGAACAAACGTAACAAAAAAAAACCTCTTGGCTAAAGCGATCCATGCAACGTTACTGGCATGTGTGCGTGTGGGCACTTAGCTCAGTGGCAGGTGCAAATTCTAACCAGACGGTGTCAAATGCTTTCGGGAGGATTTCTGCACAAGCACAGAGCGCCAGAAAGTTGGAGAGACCCCATATTCAGTCGGTTCTCACCCTCCGATGACTGCGGTCCACAAAACAGACCTTTGTCCACTTTGTAATTTCCTACACCGGGATTATTTTAACTACACATGGATTGCCATTAATATTAGATGTAATTAAAAGTGTATATGCCTACACATAAAAGCAAGTACAGTTTGTAGTACTGTGCAATGATTAGTTATTTAAATAATCATTTTGGAAGAGTTGCAAGCAATGACATAATCAATTATTTAACAACGCTCTCAACCTGTGACACTAACACTTAGTGAATAAACAATGTACCCTTAAGTATACCCAACACTGCTGCCAGGAGGGATGCCAATATTAAGTTTAAAAAAAAAATACTTGGGCTCTGCTACTTCACAAATGTAGAGCCTAGGACTACCAATTCAGTCGTCTTCAGCTACAGCATTAAAAGCAGAATTGCCGCCAGGGAGACGTGAAATGGAGGTACTGTACAACTGTATCAAGGGCCCCCCAATAAAGGACGGCTACAATATTTAAAAATAAATAAAATATTTACATGATGGTACTGTATACAAATTCCTCTGATAAATCCTTAATGTAGAGTACATTGATATCCAACGCAGCCATTCTATTTTTTTCAATCGAGCCTATCCCAAAGGCATACGCGCTTGGTAAATATTTGTAAAACGCTGGGTAGAATAAAAGTTTCCCTCTTTGCAAACACTGATGCAGTATGGGAAGAGATGCCCCCCCCCAGCCAACACGACAAACCAGAGCTCCACATTTCTCTTGACGTTCTGATCAAAAGTTTACGCCAAAGATTTTTCCTTTATACAAAACCAATAAATTAACATAATTATCTCATAGTACTGGTACCTTTCCCAAACAGAGCTCGCTAAAAAAGAACACGATACTGCATTTGGAGTTGTGTTTACGTGACAAATCCCTTACTAATTTGGCTGTGTCGGGTGGTGGAAGGGTTTCGACACATTACTTACGCGATCTAACCCAACAACCTTTATTATGGACTCTACTGCAATTCCTAAACTATTGTTGCTTTAGTTTCATGCACGGTCTACTTACCTCCCACACAATTTGGTCATAGAAGTCGGCAAAGAAGCCACGATTAGTCACAGGACTGCACGTAACCACAATTACCAATGAGGATTGGAATTCAGCACATCCACATGATGTGGGGGTGTGTTTCTATTTCTGTCCAATCCCTCTACATTCCAACGGACATTGGGGATACCACAAAACATGAACTACTTTCTATTTAACGCTTTAGAATCAATCAATATACTGTAGTGCGAACTCCCAATTACCTTGCATAACTCAACTGGTATAGTGTAATGTGGCTTGACAGTTTGTATTATCACAAGTACACACTTATGGACTTGACTTTCCAAAAACAATCCTCTATGGTTAGCACCCATATCATCTGACCTGTCAAGGAATTGGAATGCCAATGACCAAGGAAGCAATAAAAGCTTCGTTTTCTTTTCTGTACCAAAGCCTCCAACTCCAAACAATTATCACTACTGTAAAGCACAATCGGAAGTAAAGCACCCACTTTCTTACTGTACAGTATTTAATAGCCTTCAAAGTAAAATCAATAGAGTCGATTGGTGATTCAGCACTCACGATTTACTCCAGGTTACGCAAAACGGCAGTCAATTCGCCTCCTTATTACTACTCTTATCACGAATACAACACACCATGATTATTCGAACTGCAATCTTCACTCGTGTTGAAACTCACGCTACTAGACGGACCATTTCATCTCGTACTGTGTTCAACCACCACACTACCTACTACTCGTCAAAACAATTAGCGGGTTCTCTCCCCCTCCATCGTTTCTGTTCACCCCCAAGGTTCTGTACAACCTTGGCCATCTCCAGAAACGTGATAACGCCTCTCTATTTACAACTTTTAGTGCCGTTTTATCGCCAGAAGCTTTGCGTTGTGAGTCTATGCTCAACAACCATGAATGACTATACAGTATATTCAGGTAACCGAATATAATTATTCAGTAAACTCAATGGCATATCCTGTATATGCAAGCCTATACACCTCAAAATCACACGAAAGGGCCTTTCTTTCCCAAGCCTCCCGTAAGCAAGATGTCCTACACACTTTTACATTCAATAAAACACTTTACAGTATTTTTCAAGCGCATTAGTGTACAATAACACTAGCTCTTCAATCTCCCAAGCATTGGACTAATTGTTTTAACAATAGTCGTGTTTATATTAAGTTAGCGCATTCATTGTAATGGGTTTCAAAATGAGCCAAAACTAACCGATCCCATTACTACAATAACTGCATGTGCCACAGTGCTGTGCTACATTTACATCAACTTGTTACGACTTAAGCATCAACCTAAAATCCAGACGAGGCCACAAGATGGGTTTTTGCCATATGGAGATGTAAAGGTTCTCAAACTGGTTAATGGTACACTATCTACAAAGACCGTGTGAGCACACGCACGATCTATAGTGTGGGAAAGCCCACACTCATATCTTGTGTACGAGTGGAAGATTCTGGCCTCTTGTTCCCACGCAAAAAAAAAACAAAATGTAGCCAAAAGCGGACAACCAGCGTAATTTTATTCATTTCTTTCCCCATAAAAAGTGTGGAACTGTAGTCACTACATTTGATAGTATTTTACATGCACCGTAGGTGTAGTATTTTCACACTTTTCTGGTAACGATGCTAAAACCGATAAAGCGTTGTTCGAAATCACCAGTTCAGAAGGCCGATGGAGCCAAACGTAGTTTATTTTTTGGGTGTACTGTACAGCCCTTTATCAATAGAATGTTGGAGGACCGCTCCTCCCCCACGAGTCCTAAAGGGTTATTTGACCATACTTCACCACACTGGTCAAGAGTGGGCTTGTGAAGGCGGGGAAGCATAGAAGTACTGTATACAAGTGATGTACTTTAAATACAACCACATTAAAACACACTTACATAGATCCTTTTATAAAGCGACGCAATATCAGAACCGCTTATTCGTACGTGGTTCCTTGAACATTGGTCAATGTTAAAACATTTAAAATCCACTAAAAGACAAAGCATCCTTGGGGTTATGGAGATCCCGGGCATAGCGTGGTCTTAAGCGGTTCAAGCTAATCACAAAATGTACACAAATTGTACACAGTGTACATCCATCGCGCGAAAGTACGTGTATTAGTAGATATGAGGGCTCATGGAGATCAGACAAGTTAACGTCGCGTTATATACGAGGAACACTTTAAAAAGTACAGCCACACACAACACAAACAATGACGCGTTACAGCATTTAAAACACAAACACGATACGATCGCCTTCCTGTAGGCAAACAAAAACAGTCGCCACCGTTAAACAAATCGCACGAATAAAAAAACCACACGATTACAGTATACGTGATAGTACAATGTGTGTATATAAATGTAAAGTTAACAACGAATAACCACCACGGGCCTTCAATAGCGAGACCATCACCGCATTATTCAAGGCGGTTTGACTCAAGTCGAGTCTCTGTGGGATTCTAAACAAACAAAACCCTACAATAAGCAGCCTTTACAACTCAACCGTGTCGATGTACTCTTTACACAATTACAACAATATAGATTCAAGACATCACCAAACAAATAAAAAAAACGACATCGCACGAAGCAGCCGCGTCCGCTTCAACGTTACCACCGCCCCGCGCCAATGATAAACTATTCCATTTTTATTTTCTTTACCATAAAACATTCACCGACCGCCTCACCTCACCAAGTGGTCGCGCCACTGCCCCCGGCCGTCGTTTGCTTATTGTTCACGAGTCGACAATGTTTTAAATGGTTTTAATCGCGGGTCGCCTCAGACCTCACGCCGAGAGCGACGCAGGACGGCGAACGGAAGGGGGAAAAAAAACCTCGATTGAAAAGAGTTCCGGTTGCCGATACCGGCGGAGTAATACGCAGCGAGCGCGCGCGCGCAGCGATCGGGTTGACCGCTTCACACGTGGCCGCCCGCCAACATTAAGGGGGGGGGGAGAAGGAGGAAAGGGGGAGGAGGAGAAGTCCGCCTTGTGCTCCGCCGCAGCTGAGAAGTAGTGCGGGGTGACGTCATCTCCCTTGTGAGTCACGGGGGCGGGTGGGGGGACCGTCACGACGCACGCCCCCCCCACCCCTCCCCCAGGCCCGACCACTTTCCAGCCGCTTGTAAATTGCAATGAATGAGTCACCGCTCGTACCGGCCGTGGTCTATTATCTAATTAAATAATTACACTAATTACATAACTAATTACAATGGAACACACAAAAAAAAACCCTCCCCAGGAACAGTTTTGTTTACACTCTTTTAAAGACGGGCTAGCACGTGCACCGGCTGTCCTCGCTGTGCGAAAAAGAGCTTAATAGATCATCGGATTCCTCCGGTTTCCATAAAGATTCTGTCTGACCACTTACCCGCGTGGCCATGGCAAACTGATGATCAGTTGCCGTGCAGGACGATCTATGTCAATGGACCTGGCGGTGCCGCTTGTTGTGTTCGTGTGTTGAACTTCTCTCGCACCGTACGTAGCCAACCGCGCTCATCGGCGGTGCGGGGGAAGGACAGCAAACTGAACACCGCAGAAAGCGCTTCTAAAGAAGTGAGTTTTCAATCGAAATGACGATGATTTAAAAGTGCGTAGCTCCAGTGGCTTCCCAAAATCGGAAGGCAAGAGCGTTCCAGACGGCCGCAGAAGCGCGTCTGAATGCGCGCGATGCGAGTGACAGCCTTTGTTGGATGACCAGCAGCCAAAAGACACTGTACCCTTTTGTTTTTGTCAATACTGCTGAACGAGGGCCTTGGGAGCTGTTTGGGCCATACCTCACCGCACTAGACCAACGCGGCTTTGTGAAAGTAGGGGGAGCCTAGCAGTGTGGTACAACGATGGCTCCATTTGCCCTGTGACCCACCACGTGGCCTGTAACGTGAGCACGGTGAGAGCTCATCCGAGAGCACTCCAAGTCTCCACGCATCTGAACCGAGGAGTTCAAGCCACCAGCCCTGCACACATTTCATTATTGCGACACCATCTATCACCGGAGCTGCTTCTGAGTCCACCTTAAAACGTTCCATGCCATGTTAGCAGTTTAGCACGGAGGCTTTCGCGACCAATATTATGCATATTGGGGGGGGGGGGGGGGGGTTAGATCGTGTAATCTATAACCAACAAAAACTCTTATGGCCATTTTAGCGCTCAGCTTTAGACGCTCTAAACGCTCCCTATAGAACTCATCATTCATTGCAGCCTGTACAACGTGGTCCAGATGTCTTGTGACTCGCCATTTCATTCTCTATAATATTTTTAAAGTAAGGTTTATTTACAACAGAAATGAATGTGCAAAAGGAAAAACAATGTTAGGGGTCAAATAATTGTGTGTTATAAGACATCTGGACCACCCTGTACATTAACTCAACTCTCCCCCCCCCCCCCACCGAGAGACCATCACTGGACCGTCTTCATCCTAAAGGTACCCTAAAACAAATCCTCTCCTTACCGAAAGGACCACTGAGTTCCTCTGACTCCCATCCGTAGCCCCTGAAGTGCCTTCTTATTCCTAAGGAAAAAAAATCTATTTCAAAAACTTTGGTCATAAATAATTTCGGTGTTGCTGCTCCACGCTTCCCTCCCTTCACCCCCGTCCTCTATTTCTCTATTTGAGTATTAGGTCACACCACAGATCTTGCTTGCGCCTGCACTTGCTTTTGGCGCCTCTTGCTCCCACGTGTTTTGCACTTTTTCGATTCGCGCGTGTTATGCGCATGACCATTAAATGCCTCGTTTATGCGTTGTGCAATATTGCTTAAGGACAGTTTAACACGTAAGCTTTCGCGACCAATGTTATTCATAATAAAGGTTTTTTTTGGGTTAGATCTCGTAAGTAGCATTTCAGTTACTGAAGGACCCCGGCACCCGTTTTCTGCAATGCCGATTTTTTTTTCGTCTTTTGTTTTTGGTTTCTACTGTGCTCACGCAACACCACCACCACCACGGATCTTCATCGTCACATAGCCGGGCAGCGGGCTAAACGGGACGATCGGTGGAACAAATCAAATTAAGCTCAAAAACTACGCCGAGCTTCCGATATCCGCGGACGAGATTGGACGCATTCCGGGCGATCACTTCGTGCAAGGGCACTGATTGCACACAGGTGACGCGTTGGGCATCGAGGTGTTGTTAGTTGCACGCATCTCTCTAATAATAATTACCGCGTTGAGTGGCGGTGAGGGGCGACTGAATCTAATTGATACAAGTGCTCGCACAATCATTACGCACCATCACTCGAGTGGAGCCTTGCTGGGGAAAAAAAAAATGTGTCCCTTCGGGCTCCAGCAGAGAAGAGCAGAGAAAGCAACGTGCTCCGTGCCACACTTGGTTGTCTTGCTGCCGAAACACACAAAGTTGGGCTTATTTTCAATTTGGCAGTGTGCACGCAAGCCCAGTTAAGCACGCAATGTTGGGCCATCGTTGGTCGACGCTGGGCCAACGTTCATTGACGTTAAGCTAACGTTGGCCCATCGTTTTACCAGGCGGCCCTTTGTCAATCCACTGCTGGACGAGTGAGAGTAGAACTCCTGTGCAATGGACTTTACCGCACTGCCCTCTGTTGCCCCAAAAAATATTGTTGTTATGCATAATCGTTGAAAGTACACGTTTAGTCGTTTTATACTTGTGGGTACGAAGTTGGCGCAAAATAATTTAACAAACCTGTAACGATATCGACAGTATTATTTTCCATTTAAAACATGTCTATTGAATTAGATTTCCAATCGTACAGTAATTTGAATAGCAATGACACAAATCATATACTGTATGTGGTTAAGAGGACCACTGTTTCAGTGGTTATTGCACTGAGCTGTGAATCCAGCGACCTGCGTTTGATTCCCGACCAAAGCTAACATCAGTGGCGAGTGTTATCTAAACCAGTTCTGCTCCAACCCCCTCTCCCCTTCTCCAACCTACATGGACCAGCGTGTCGTCCCGCCACCGACCGCATAGCCGCATACGAGTGAATTCAAACCGCATAGAGTGCAATTTGGGTCGAAATAGGTGAGCAGAATATACACGAAATCGCGCAAACCGAACCCGCACAAAGCGAGGAAAGACCTGTATATTGCGAGTACCTAGCAATTCGCAGAGGGTTGCGACCTAGAATACATTATCTTTGGGGTGAGGGGAACTTCAGTTGGAACAAGCACAATAAAATTACATGCAGAGTGTGCACAGCCTCTGCCGTATTCACACCACCAAGGTGACCTTGGCCCCTTCAACTCCGTGTTGTTCCCCTAGTCAATTGGGGCGGTGGGGGGGGCTTGGAGGGGGGTGAGGCATCAGGGGTCCGGCTGGTGCCCCCTATTGAATTGTGAGAGATGAGCGTGCGTAGTTTCGGCCTTGGGGGCTGGCGCGGGGGGCAGCCGGGAGCCACGGGTCACCATCCCTCTGAGTGATCCACGACAATGAGGCTCCACGACGAGCCCCTCTCCTCGGAGCGACAATCAAATTCACCTCCTCGAGGTGTGTGTGGATTTCGTTATCTCTGCCGCAGGGCGAAATGGTGTGGGGCGGCGCGCATTCACACACGGGTCCTTATGCTGGGGTGTCACTTAGAATGAAAAACAAAATCAAACAACTAATTTGATTGTAAATGTTTTTGTGGGTTTACTCTCCAGCGCTGGACGAGTAACCAATTGGCACGTTTTGTTGACGCTATAAACCTGTCGGGTTGTGGCGGGTTTTACGGTATATTTATATTTACGTGATCTAACACAAAGCAAACCTCAGTGATGTATAAATACATTTAAATTTCAGCCATTCTCCATGCTCTGATGAACCAAGGTCTCCCCGTGCCATGGTGGTTTAACCGCCGTGTAGGTCAATGCAGGTTGGCGAAGAGAAGGGCTGGCAGGGCGTGTTCTACGATCACTCGCGACTAACGTTAGCCGTGACCGGGAATCAAACTCAGATTTTTTTTTTGGGTTCATAGCGCAGCACGCTAAACATCACTGGCACACCACTCCACCCTGTTTATCAATGAATAATAATTGTGTGTGTATTTTTTTAAATTCAAATTTTATGGTAAAATTAAAAAAATTAAATCTCCATCGGTAAAAAACTCCACAGTGCTGTGCTTGGAATAATAGACAAGGTTTGTTCTCGTAACCCCTGGACGGTCTTCTTTTACTTAAGCATAATCTTACCAGAATACATTGTTTAAAAATCACATTTGTACATGAGTTGTTAAAAGGACATTTGACTACTGCTGCTTGGTCAGACGTGCACTCTTGTACGCTTGTGCAAACCTGCATGGTAATTATACATGACCCACTTTCCCGTTTAAACATGATCTACTTTCAAATACTATCATTGCAAGACATGAAAAATTACCGGCAAAAATATATATATACCCTGGCTTGTTCAACATAATTAACAAAAAAATCACATCAAGTTACATTGCCGTATATATCACTTTCAAAAATGTTGGGCTTTTTTCTGGTTTCTACATGTAAAATGCACGTATAATTAAAATGGTTCAAAGCTAAAATACATCTATACATATATAACAGCCACGTTGGTTAGTGACCCAGGCTCCTGTACAAAACTAAACGAGCAAATCCAGTCTGAATGACCTTCACACAGTCAACCATATCATGCCCGACGAGCAAAACATTTAATCTGCATTGACACAATTTACCAAAACAATGTTGAAATGGGTTCTACCGTCACTTAGAGGTCGGTTAATTTCTTTAAAACATTTAGCCTAATATTTCATCTTCATAACTTATGGTTGGTGCACATATTATAATTATTTTCACCCTGTGAGTGGTTCGAGAGCCTGGTGACTGGGAAATTGAATCCGATGTTCACAAATTTTTGCACAGACATCATATTACATTTCAGAATCAGAATACTTCTTTATACTAGAGGAATCCGATTAACTATAAAGCTACTTTTCACAGATCTACAGTAGTTTCACAGTTTGTCACTCAATGTATT